TTTTTTTTTTTTTTTTGGTCTGGGTAAAAATTTACCCTTTTCTGCCCATACCCATTTGGTCCTCTTGTTTTATCCTCTGTGTATTTTTTTTTCCCCTGTTTTGTTTAGGTTTACATATTTAATGGTGTCTAGGCCTTGTAGTGCTGGTGGGTATATAGTCCTGAGAATTGGGGTTGTGGGATTAGAACACAAACAAAAGCTGGAGTTGAGATTAGGTTTGATGATGAACATTTTGTCTGCTGCTGCTGGCTCATTTGGATAGATAGATTGTAATAATAATAACAAGTCTGTTTTAGCACATTTTCTTGTTTTGTGAAGGAAAAAAAAAAATTGTATTCATATTCATTGTTGTTAGATCATTTTGGACATGTAGCTTGTATGTGAAGTAGCAACACACACAAAATTTGCATTACTCCCAATTTGAAAAAAAAAAAGGGACAAAGGAAAGTAAAAATGGTGAAGCCTTGTTGGAGACCTTCAGTCGAAGGTGACAGTGTTTGGAGGCGAGGAGGAAGTGAGTTAAACGGCCGAGTTGACGGGCTATGGTGGTATAAAGATCTCGGTCGTCACACGAATGGGGAATTTTCGATGGCTGTGATTCAAGCCAATGGGCTGATGGAGGACCAAAGCCAACTCGAGTCGGGCCCGTTGAGTTCTCTCGACTCGGGTCCTTGCGGCACGTTTATCGGGGTTTATGATGGCCATGGTGGGCCCGAAACGTCTCGGTTTGTGAACGAAACCTTGTTCCAGAATCTCAAAAGTATGTCCTTTTCTTCTTCTTTTTCTTCTCATTTGGGTAGAGTTTTATGAATCTTAGGGTGTTCAATGTTTTTCTCCTTCTCATTTGGGTTAAGTTTTATGAATCTTTAACTTAGGGTGTCAATGTTGAATAATGTAACAAGTATCAATGTAGTAAAATGGAATAAGAGGTTGAAGTTGGCATTTGCAGACTCTATAAATTGCCCTTTTTTGTCTCTAAAACACAAGAATCGTTTATCTATGTTTGGTAAAACTAGCTGATAAAGCTAATTTATAACTTATAAGTGTTTTTCAAGCTTATAGCTTACGAGTTATAGTAAAATTAGCTATAAGCTAGCTGAAATAAGAATTTCAACGAGCTTCTAAGCTACCCGAAAAAACTTATGAATAAGTTCAAGCTTTTAAAAAAAACTCGTCCTACGAAACAAAGCTTATTTGAATATAAGAAGCTTATAAGCTAACCAAATAAGCTATAAGATATCTTATTTAGTTATTTTGCAAAAACTCTGTATAGATTTGCCACATCACAAATAAGAATCATATGAAGAAGTTGTCTAAAGATCAAAACAGAGGCCTTTCTACTAATTCATATGGTACTTACTCTCCAATATGACTTAGTTCTTTTGTGTTTGCACAGAATTTGCTACCGAGCATCGAGAGATATCCACAAATGTCATAAAGAAGTCTTTCTTGGCAACCGAAGAGGAGTTTCTCTCTCTAGTTAGGCATCAATGGTCCGTAAAGCCTCAAATTGCTTCGGTCGGAACATGCTGCTTAGTAGGCGTGATATGTGACGGGCTGCTATATATAGCCAATGCCGGTGATTCGCGAGTGGTCTTAGGCAGAACGGATAAAGCCATTAAAGGGGTGAGTGCTATACAGCTGTCGGTCGAGCACAACGCGAATAGCGAGTCGGTTAGGGACGAATTACGGAGTTTGCATCCCGACGATTCGCAGATTGTGGTCCTGAAGCACAAAGTTTGGCGCGTGAAAGGGATTATACAGGTATATTTGTAATCATTTTTTAATTTTGTTACTATTATTTTGTAGTTTATAGTAACACTCATCTCATGGTAGTTTCTGTATTATTCAGACTATTTTTTATGTATGCCAAAAGCTGCAATCTTGTTTAATACTTGACATCCCTAACTTCATATCTAGAAAGAACCGCGCTTTTCAGCTATGTTTGGTAAAACTAGCTGATATCGGTGATTTTTTTCGCTTATAGCTGAAAAGCTAGCTTATATGATAAAAGTGTTTGATAAAATTAGCTGATAAACAGCTAAAATAAAATTTTCAACGAGCTCATTTGAAAAGCTACTTAAAGAAGCTTGAGATAAGCTCGAGTTTATTAAAAAAACTCGTCCTACCAAACGAAGCTTATTTGAATACAAAAAGTTTTTAAGCTAACCAAATAAGCTACAAGTTTCTAGCTTATTTGGTTACCAAACATATTCTTCAATATCTTCATCTTAATCTTCTTAAGCATTTTCAATTTTATTCGAAATTGAGATTTTCTTGGATCAAATCTTTGCCTTCTTTTGTCCCTCTCTATCAATGAAAGTATATAATTACTCTTTTGTTGTGATACAAAAAGGTCTCGAGATGCATTGGGGACGCATATCTCAAGAAATCGGAGTTCAACCGAGCACCATTGCTCGCCAAATTCAGGCTACCCGAGCCCTTTAGCAAGCCCATTCTAAGCCCCGAACCATCTATGCTCGTGCACAAGCTAAACCCGGACGATCAATTCCTCATATTTGCCTCGGATGGCTTGTGGGAGCACCTAAGCAACCAAGAGGCTGTTGATATAGTTAACAGCTACCCTCGAAACGTGAGTATTACACTATATTTCTCATTTGCTTCTACATGAAAAAAGATAGTTCTCGAAAATGTACGGTTTTGCGCCTATTGTTCGTTTCTCATATATAAAAAGCCACAAGAAGGAAAAAAAAATGGTGGTTTAGTTATTTCATTCATTTGTATTTATCTTTTTCGATTCTTCGGGCAGGGAATTGCTCGGAGGCTTGTGAAGGCTGCTCTTCTTGTTGCGGCTAAGAAGAGGGAAATGCGGTATTCGGATCTCAAGAAAATTGACCGAGGCGTGAGGAGGCATTTTCACGACGATATAACGGTTGTGGTCGTTTTTATAGACCAAGCTTCGTCGATGAGGAGAAGCTCCTCTCATGGCTCTATTGTTTCTATAAGGGGATTTGGCAGTGGAGTTCCATAATCTGCTGCTTAGTGATTTTTAGCTCTGTTGTTTTTTTAGTTCTTTTTTACTTAGTGAATCAAATCTTGAATGTTGACCATGAATGTGGTGAGGATTAGATTTGCGTGGGCTCGTTTTGCCTCCATTTTTTTTTTTTTTTTTTCTATAAAAAAATGTAATTTGGATGGGTTATTTTAGGGATTTGGATAGGATTGTGTTGATCATCAAACAATTATATATAGTATGGTATGATTTTGTTTTCCGGAGGTGACCTAAGAGTCAACATTGATCTTTTTTGATTAAAAACAAATAAAATTGAGGCTTCACAAGCCCACGTTGATCTCTGATACCATTTGTTGGGCTCAGATGCGCAAGTGCAGAAGATGTAAATTAAAACACTGAGATAAAATGGTGAATAATAATTCAATCCCAACAACTCAAGAATGACAAAAGAAATCTCTTGTTGTTTTAAAACAGGAATAATTCTTTCTGACGTGGAAGATTATATTAAACTGCGACCACAGAATATACTAAGAATATCCCAAATAAATAAAATATGCAAGAAAGAAGACGCCAAATATTTAACGTAGGAAAAACCTCCAAGATAGAAGAAAAACCCACGGGACAACCTCCAAACAATTCCACTATATTTTCAAGATAATTACAATATCTTTTCACACTCACCTACACTAGAAATGTAAAATATAGTGACCCCAATGAAACTCCACTCCTATTCAAATATTACAAACATGAAGTAATAGAGTTGATACCCAATCCGGTGTATTTTTCTCACACTCACAGAATTTACTCAAACACTATTTTTATCTCAATGAAAAATAACACTCACACAAATTTCATTTATGCTCTTTTTTCTTTCTTCTACTTTCTTTTGGTTTCTTGTGGCTGGACCCCACACTCATAACTATGCCTTTTATCATTGGCGCGTGACTTTATAAATTGTTTTTCATTTTATTACATCAACTAGTACAACTCCCGTGTATTACACGGGTGCTTGCTAATTTTTTTCTTAAAATCTAAAATTAATGAGAAAAAATAGTTACAAATTTAAATACCTTTTATAAAAATATATATTATTATATATTTAGTATGACACTTTTTATTTGTGAGACTTACCTGTGTTATATTATAATATTTTTTTTAACTTACAACATATAACTACATTAAACATAAATATATCAATTGAGAAATAATTTTATTTTTCTAATGATTTTTAATAAATATAATTATTTTTTATTATTATAAATATAAATATAATTTATTTATTTCAATATATACAATATGGATGTCAAATCGAAGATCATCAAAAATGATTAATTTGATATATTATATATGTAAAACCGCTAAGAAATACAAAATTTATCAACTTTAAAAATACATTTACAATTCAATAGCTAATTGAAGGAAACAAATCAAAAGTCAAGGATATATTAGTCACTTAGTGTCTCACAATGTAAAATTACAAGAAATTAAAGGGTTATATTAGTACAAGTGATATTAAAAAATACCTAAGTTAGCTAAATAATATTTATGGAATGTCTAAACCTAGATTATTAATCATTAATATATCAATATTATTTGTCCAAACCTAATTACGAAGCATGATTCTTCGCCAAGTAGGATTGCGAAGCACCAGAAGCAGCCACGTAGGCTCAGCGCATTCGGGAATTATATATAGGGAGGATTGTTTATAAATTTCTTGTCTAAATTAGTCCTGCTTTAGTTCAAGAACTCGTAGTTTTGTACTACTTGGGTTTAAAAGAGTTTCAAGTTCAACACTTTCTGGGTTCCTTCTAATATCTAGAAATTGATCTGATTACGTGAAAAGTTCAATTCATGGTGGTGGTTTTTTGAAAATACACAAATTCTTGTGTGTCAAGTGGCCTAACCCTAGTCGAGTCGATCTGTCATACTTTTTCAACAAAAAATGCATATTTATGCTATGACGTATCATATTAGTGGTTATATGCCTTTTTAAAGTATGACATTTCGAAAATATGTATGTAAAAGGTATGATTGTACCTAACAACACTCTTACTATAGGAATTACTGTCATTGAGCCCTTTCAAAGCTCTAAAGCTTGAATCTTTTGGGGCCTCAGGAAATCTTTGTAGTAAAATTCTTGAGTTTTTTATACTTTTTTTTTTATTATTAATATTTGTACAGCAAATGAGGCATTTGAGAGGGTGGCCAGCTATGGTTTGTAGCCAAACATGATGTTTTACCTTATGAACGAGTACAAAATTGGATTTACAAAAGCCATAAATTTGATGTTTTACTGGTCAGCAGCTACAAATTTCATGCCACTCATTGGTGCCTTTGTTGCCGACTCGTTTCTTGGCCGTTTTCTTACCATCGGCTTAGGTTCCATCGTCTGTCTTCTTGTAAGCAAACGCCGTTCACTTTGTCTTTTCTCCCTTTTTTTTATCATAATGTTGTGTTGAATTTGATGACTAAGTTATGAGATGTGAAATGTGTTAAATGATTTGGTAATGTTGAGATCTTTTTGTTATATATAACCAGAGGACAATCAACCTATGGCTAACCGGGGTTCCCAGCCGCAAGGCCACCGAAATGCGGGCCGGCCCAACTCTGCAAACAAGCCTCACCCGCACAATACACCCTCTTGCTATCCTCATTCGCCCTAATGTCCATAGGCGCAGGCGGGATAAGACCATGCTCCCTAGCATTCGGCGCCGACCAATTGGCCAACAAAAAAAAGATCACTGGATATTTGAAGTGGTTTTTGGTTCTTGCATGTAGGTTAATAAAAGTCATATAAGTTGTTGGGAGATTTTAGATAGAAAGATTCTTGATTTTCTTTTTGTGTTGATCATTAAAACATGCCCTTTAAGATCTTTATACCAATTTACAAACACTTAGAAGCATGGCAGATGACTAAGATCATATACAATATGCTTTTTTTCACCACTGTATTCTTTTTATTTTTCTCTCACCTTTATTAATTTCATTGAAGATGCAATTATATTCAATGAGGAAGATTCGATGCAGCCCGTGTGGGCAGTTTTTTACCATTGATCTACACATAAACACACACACACACACCCACATGGGTGTGTGTGAAAATGAGTTTATCACCCAAAAATGCCAACTAGGTACATAGCAAGAAAACTCATTTTGACAAAAAATATAAATAAATCTGAATCTCAGGCTTCTTAGTTCTTACACTTGATCAGCCAGCTTTTTCTTCAGCTCCTTCTTGTTCACCTGATTTCAGTTCAAAAGATAAATGAAAGAAAACTCAATTTAGATAGAAAATTCGACCAAACTTACACGGATTCTTGAAAAAAATGACACAAGTTAGAGATTTTTTTCAAGATGTTACCTTTCCCATGGCATTGCGAGGCAAAGACTCCCATATTAACAGACGGGTTGGTATCTAAAAAAGTAAAAAAAAGCACGATTTTTATCGTGATAAAAGATAATATTAATCCAAGTGGAAAAAAATA